TTGTTCCTTCTGGATGCTCATGCTTCTAGAAGCCATTTATAATCAAAAGACAGTTTTATAACGCTATGGCATGCCAAGTTTGGCCTAAAAATGCCAAACTGTACGGCTCCCAACAGTAGAGCTGTCCTCTAGTGCATGCAAAGCCACCATTCTACCCTAGCACTTAGAAAAAACAGAGCATGCCAGGTGTCATGGTGCATGCCTTTAATCCTGGCACTTTGGAAACAGAGGCAGGAGGATCTCTATGAGTTCCTGACAAGTTAAGGCTATATATAATGAGACTCCGTGTAAGACAAAACAAAAGCAGCAAAGAGTAAAGCCAACTGGGGCTGCACATTGTGTGTGTGTGTGTGTGTGTGTGTGTGTGTGTGTGTGTATTGCATGTTCATGTATATGTGCTTGTGTAATGTGTTTGGTTTACATTCATTGAGGTTTGTTTTATAGGGTAATACAGTCTCTTGAAGCATGTTTAGCCCTTGAAAAGAAAGTATATTCTATGGTTTCTGGAATGCACACCATCCTACAGCTATCTGTTAGATTTAGTGATGTGCAGCTGTTTTCTATCCAACTAAATGAGGTCGTGCTGATTTTTATGTCAACTTGATGCAATCTGGAGTGATCCGAGAGACAGGAACCTCAATCAAGAAAATGCCTCTGTAAAATCAACAGGTGGAGGTGAGGAAGAGGAGGGGTCCAAATATAGCAAGTTGGAGGCCAGACAAGTACCTGCTAGCCCATCTTCACTGTTTAAATAATGGTTTTCTCTCGCTGCTCTTTTTACATGACCCATCTGTGAGTCTCTGCTTATGTCCCATTTGGGGTTCATACAGGTTCCTGGAGGTGTTACTGTTTTCCAATAAATTTAGGGACTTTTCACCCATTATTTCTTTGAATATATTTTCTTTTCCTTTCTCTCCTTTCTGGATGTGCTAGTGTCCTTAAAGTTGTCACCAAGTTAAGAGTTTCAATTTAGTACTCTCTAATGTGCCTCTCTGTTCATTTGATACAGCAGTGTCATTATATCTGTGCTAACCCCTTTTCATTGGTTTCCTTTAGTTCTGAGAGCATAGTTTTTGGTGGTTTTGTTTTGTTTGAGACAGGGTTAACTATGTTGCCCAGGCTGACTTACAACACCTGTGTGCAAGACATTTTCTTCCTCAGCCTCAGTTTCTCCCATCACGGGACCATGCTACTATACACAGCAAGTTATGAGTTTGTTGTTTTTTGCTTGCCTTGTAAGCAAGCATGCTACAACTGAGGGGTATATCCAGTAACCATAGTACCGGGGCTGTTCTCAGTAGTAGTTTTCAAAGGTTCTTGTTATTCACTAGCTTCCCATTCGGGTTAGTTAGTTGTTTGGGTTTTGTTTTTTTGGTTTTTTTGTTTTTTTTTTTAAATCAACCTGACACATTTGTGGGGCATTTTCTTGAATCATTACCACGTGATTGATACGTGGTAAGGCCAGCTACCTCTGGGTAGGTGGCCCTGTGTTAAATAAAAAAAGCAACCTAAACAAACCATGAGCAAGCCTTTGAGCTGTTAAAATTTTTTCAACAGTGTCTTATGAACAAAGTTAAGTAGCCACGATGACTTTCAACTTCTGATCCTCCTGTCTCTACTTCCTAGTCTAGGATTACAGGCTTGTACCACCACACATTTATGTGGTACTAAGGATTGAACTCAAGCCACCATGCTAGGCAAGGTTTCTACTAAAATATCTTATCTGTACCTAGCCTGAATGCTATGTAACCATCTGCCAGGTAAGATGTGCCTACTGTGCAATAATGGAATGACTGTTATGGAGACAACTGTCATAGTTAGCACTGCCAATTAGATGTGACCTAGAGTTCATCTATGAGAAGCTTTAATTGAGGAACTGCCTATATCAGTCTACAGATTGTCTTGATGGAGGAGGGCCCAGCCCAAGGTGGAGGCACCATCCCTTATGCATGCGGTTCTGTGCTATGTAAGAAAGCTAGCTAGGCATGCACCTGTGAGTGACCCAGCAGAGTTCCTCCATGGTTTCTGCTTCAAGATTCTGCTTGAGCTCCTGCCAGACTTCCTTCAGTGATGGACTGTCTGACATGGGGCCTGTTCCTTAGAAGAAAATTCCTAGCTGGTACTACAAAAATGGTCAAAGTAGCATGGCTGAAGAGGTTATGGGCCTTCGAGGGGAACCTACTACTACTACTGTTCTAAATGGACATGCTGTCAAACTGCCTTGTAAATATTTATGCTTATACTGAAGCTTACTTAGTACTGCTTTCAGTCTTGGCCAGAGCAGCTTTTCTCTCAATTAAATTAATGCTCATAGCTGGTCAAAGGTGATGGGAATGACTGCTGAGTGAATGCTCAGTTCTAAATGGGACATCTTCATCAACTCCTCCAAAGTTCAGGGGACACTGAGAAGATGGCACAAAGAATGGTAAGAGCCAGAAGATAAGCTGTGAAATACTAGCTCCTGGACGTGCCAAGGCTCACACTCATGAACTCAGTCATCTACAATAACCTGCACAAGCTAGTTGACATTCTTGCCTGGATGGGAGGACGCACGAGGATTGACCCATGCCTATTTGAGGAGCTAGGGGCAACTGATGGCTGCTGGGTGGGTGGGGTTGGGGAGAGAGCCATCTTTCTTCAGGTCTCTGGTAGACTATTCATGCTTTGGTGGTGGCACCACACCCAAGCACATGCAAGCAGCACTAACTGGAATCAGTGTGGTATTTAACAAATTAAAATGGAGGCAGATGTACTGGAGGAAAGTGGAGGATTGAGCTGAGTGTGATCCAGATATTCATGTATGATATTGTCAAAGAATATTCTAAAAAAAATACAGATTTTCAAGACTATGAGGGTGCTGAACCACTACAATATTCATCTGGCTTCTACCAAGACTCACAAATGTTATCTGCTACTTCTGCATCAAGTACCATCTTCTGTACACACAAGGGCACATAACTACTAACATGAGCAAAAAGATGACATCAGAGTTCCAATAATTTTAACATGCTTCTCCAAAGGGAAAAGATATTCTGTCACACCTTAGAAAATCGAACAGTATTCCATTATCATGTAAGAGTCCATACAAAAACCTTCTGAAATGTCCCTCAAATATCTTTAGTGGCCATGCTCAAGTAATTCAAAAATCAATCCAAGCTGGATTCAGCATATAGGCTGACAGTCCCAGCTACTCTGGTGTCAAAGATGAGAGAGTTATTTGCCCCAAGAGTTAAAGTCTAGCTTAAGGATCAATCAATCAATCTATCAATCAATCAATAAATAAAAAGATAAAAAAAAAACCCCACCAAACCAAAACCAGAGAAAGATGGCTCAGAGGTTAAGAACACTGGCTGTTCTTCCAGAGGTCCCATGTTCAATTCCCAGCAACAACATGGTAGCTCACAACCATCTATAATGAGACCTGGCACAACCATCTATAATGAGATCTGGAGCCCTCTCCTGGTGTGCAAGTAGAATACTGTATACATAGTAAATAAATAAATCTTAAAAAAAAATACAGGTTTTATAGGTGCCCCCACATTCCAGTTTCATTTTACTATAGACTGAGATTAAATGTTCCATCAATGGTGTTGTAGAACTTTGAATGTATTTACAACTCATCTAAATATTTTTAAAAGAAAGTTGTTTTTTGTTAAATAAAGTTTTTAAATCAATCTTACCCAACATTTGAGGCATGTTATACCATATGGGTTCCTTCCTTGGGATACTGTCACAAACAAATGTCACTAAATATAACTGTCTTTCCAGATCACTAACAGTACCATCTTTACAAGTGAGAAACACACACACACACACACACACACACACACACACACACACACACACACACACACACACACACACACACGAGAGAGAGAGACAGAGAGAGAGAGAGAGAGAGAGCCCAAAAAGTGGTGTGTTTAATCATCATCCGAAACTATGTAATATAAAAAGGGAAAAAATAGAGACAAAAACTTCCATTACATTTTTATTTCTATGTTCTTAGTCTCTAAGATTGTTAGTTGTACTCTCAAAGTTGACAGATAACTAAATTAATATAAACTTTTATCAATTTGTAAGAGCTGAGGAAAGATTTAGAATGTCTAGTGTGGGAGGCTTTTTTTCATCACTAAGAGAGAATTTTTTTTCTCTTTCAAAAGTGTTTTTGAGCCAGGCGTTGGTGGCTCACGCCTTTAATCCCAGCACTCGGGAGACAGACTCAGGCAGATCTCTGTGAGTTCGAGGCCAGCCTAGTCTCCAGAGTGCTAGGATCGGCTCCAAAGCTACACAGAGAAACCCTGTCTGGGGGAGGGGGGTGTTTTTTAGACAGAATCTCACTATGTGGTCCTGGCTGGTCTCAAACTAAAATTCTTCTTGGGTATTGAAATTAATGTGGAGAGAATAAACTCTTAAGAAGTTACTTGATTCCCAAATATAAGCCCCAGGAGCTAGACATGTTCATTCTCCTCTCACCAGTCGCCAATTGACTAGGTCCACAAAAGCAAAATGGCAAAATTGGAGCAATGCATGACCATAACCCATTTTTATCTACTACATTAAACCCATCTACAGAGGGTAACAATGACAACTTCGTTTGGTCATTCGTGTGCTTAAGCTTTGTATTAACTGAAGAAAGGCCAAGGTGACAACTTCCAGAAGGAACAGTTGCCATCCCCCTTATTCATTTTGCCAGCAGAGTTCATGCCACACAATTTTTAACAACTTACACAGAGTTCTCTATGGCTTTCTTATGGCTAAACCCGATTTATCCTCTCTCTTGCCAAAACACCACCACTATCTCTCCCTTTCTTGAGAACTATTTATGCCCCATGATTCACTCAGGTCTTATGTGACAACCCTGATTACAATACCATTTTTCTAACAATCTAAAACCTTCACAACTGAAAGGCAGGGAAGGTAAGCATCTCTCCAGTGTCTAGCAGAGCATAAAATTCAATGAATTGCAATTAAGTCTCAAAAAGAAAGGAAATTCATTTGAAAACTTTTGCAATTTTCTAATTTAATAGAAATAACCAAAACAATGTGGTTTTTAAACAAGGCTTCAAACTAATCTAATACAACATCTACAACACATTCCAGAGCATTGTAACAGGAATTATTTACAGGCAGCTAATGTATTAAATAACCAGGAAAAGAAAAAGCTTGCTTTTATTACACGGCAGCAAAAAACACAGGAACAGAACAATTAGAAATTGTTACCTTGTTTAAAAAATTAAATATGATCATTTAGAGAATACCACAGAAACAGCACTTTTTAAGAATCATTCTGAAGGGTAGTTAACTATGTGCAAAAATAATAGTAGTAGTAACGAGGAGGAGACCAGTTGAAATACTGGAAGCAAGGAATTAGTAAGGCTGTGACTTTAACCCTTTAGTGTGTGCATATGTCTACATAGAAAAATTAACAGGCTTTCCAATTGCGCACACCTTGTGTTATAGGCTTATACCCATGTTTCACCGCTTTAAAACACAATAAAATGCCTACATTTCTCAGATCAGGAGCAGACATGCATTTCATTCGTAAGAATGAAATTTAGGCCACAGCTGAATGGAGTATTGTGGCACTTAAAAATCATTTTGTTGCCTTCATAGGAATTTGAACGAAACACAATGGTCATTTTCAGTTTCTAAATAACACTTGCTAGAAAAGGGCTAACCTTGATTGTATACATTCTGTAGTTTAACAAATATACCCAACTTACTTTTGAAGATAATTTAGTTTCTAGATACAATAAAAATATATAAAGGACCATGTAAAGAAACGGAAGTAACTAAGATGGGATAGATGCACTTCTGATCAAGTAAAACATGCATTTAGCCAAGTAAAGAAACTGTTATACCCAAGAGTAAATGCTGACATTGGAAATGTCTATGTAAACTGTGGCATATAAAGTTTTTTTTCCTTAAAAAAGTACCTTCAGTTTTTTTTTTTACTCAAACAGCTACTTTTAAAAAAATATGCAACTTTTCCCCAATTTTTTAAAATAAAATGCCACGATATATTGTCATTACTTCCAGCATACATTTAAATTTTTTAATTCTTTAAAAGATAGATTGGGTGATATGCATACAAACTTTCCTATATAAAATCACCATCCAGGAGAGGATTATGACATGCTATTAGGCAACAGACTCAAAGCAGCATTATTGCTTTATCAAGGAAGCATTAACTGGAAGAAGTTAATCCAGGTAAGGTGTACAATCAAACTGCAATACACCTTTAAAAATCTTAATCACCTTCAGCAGATAATTAGTAAGGAGGCAAGAATGGTGTGTACATTTGAATATTGTATGTGAGGGCATGTGTGGAGCTGTGTATGCTTGCATGTTGTATGTGAAAGCGATGTGTGTGAGGACATGTGTGTGTGTACACTCATATGTTGTGTGTGAGGTCGTATGTGCTAGTGTGCATGTGTGGAGGTCAGAGGACAACTTCAGGTGTCAGTCTTAGCCTTCCATCCTCGAGAGGACTCAGCACTGAATCCGCCAGCTTAGCTGGCTGATGGCCTCCAGGGCTCTACCACTGCTGCCCTCCCATCTTGCTGGAGGCGCACTGGACACTACTGTACCCACCTTTACTTATCCAGATCCTCATGCTTGTCAAATAGTGCTTTTCACCCATGAACCATCTCCCCAGCCCAAAGAAGCTGTTTTAATTCAGGGAGTTAGGGTGGGTAGGTTTTTTTTATTATTATTATTTTAAATTTCTATTAACAAAACTACTTACTGATCCAATCCAATGCTGGCTACAAGAAGAAATGGAATTATACTTTATGTGTTATATGTGAAAGAGGCTGGGTACCGGAAGTAAAGGCCAAGGGAGGGGGAACTAAAGCATCTACTCCCCATTTTGGGTACAACAGACTGTTTAGTAACATGTGGTAAGCCACAACCTAAGAGCATAGTTGGAAGACCTCTGAATCTGTTGGCTTACTAACACTACTCACTAAAAATTGCGTGGCAGGATACCTGCTGAGGTAATTGATAAACCTATAATTTGAACACTAAATCATTATGTCTTTGGATTAACTAAAAAAATCTCAAAACCTGTTATAAGAAAGAATTAAAACTAACTTTTAATAACCTAAAATTCCCTTGTAAGAAACACTAGTGGTGGGGGGGGGCAAAACCCCACAACCTGTTGATTCCAAAGGGGGCAATTTCAGCAGGGGATCTAATGCTCCACCATAGCTCCATGATAACATTTTGATGTTTGCATGTTAGGTTCACAATCCAACCAGGTTAGAGTCCTCAGACACCAGTGGCATCTGATAAAGCCAGTGGAAGTGGTACGATAGGTAAATTAAGGCAAACAGAACAGGGATGGGACCACTTATTCTTAGTTATCTGGTGGGAAAAAGAAATATTCCCATTTGAAGGATTCATCATATGGACTCTTCTCCATATCTGAGATAGAGGCTTTAACAAGGAATGCAAACATCCAGGACTTAAAAGACATTCTGTATTTGTCTTTTAAAAATATAAACAGAGAAATGAGATAACTTGAATAAAAATGTAAGTTTTTATACTTTTTTTAAACTATACTCATGTTAAAGCTCAGCAGTCTGGAAACACAATGATCAGCTTGTAAAAAAAAAAAGGGGGGCTTTATAAAAGGTAAAGTGGTATTACTTAAAGAGTGGCTTGTTGATGGCAATTAAATTAATTCCTCAGCAGTAGGGGTATCTTTGCTAACAGAAATGGAGCCTACTTATGCACTGACCATAAAAGAAGCTTCTAACCTGATAATCTTAAAAGAAACAAAGAGGAAATAAAAACCCCAAGTAACATGAGAATGATTCTAGGAAACATATTCTCTCTCAGGAATTCAAATATTGAGAAACATTTGCTTAAAACCTGTGTCTGCCCCACTTGACAGAGCTTATTTGTATCTTATTACTAGGAATTTTGTAAAGGGTTAATATGAGGAGCAAATATAAACACTGGCCCAGACGCTTCACAAAATGAAGTTAACCTCCTACTCCCCCAAAAATGTACCCTTAGATATACAACTACTTACAAATTAGAAGCATGGATACAAAAGAAAAAAATAGAAGTAGGTATAAATAAAATATTGTAAAATAATTTTTCTTCCCCTCATAAAAAACAGAAGGAGAAACTTCAGTAAAATGATAAAACGGTTTGGTACATTTTTTTTTTTTAAAGAAGCTTAATTTATAAGGAAGAGAAGCTAGAAGGATCCAGGAGATGAAGCAGTTATAGGATCAATACTGTTTGAGTGCAGCTTAAATGAGAAGGCCTAAATTATACTCCTCTTTACCCACATCCCTTGTTAAGAAAAAACCCAAAGGAATCTGTATAATAATTTCTTTAGAGCACTTTATTTGATTCAATGCACACTAAAAATATTCACTTCTTCGACAATTACGTCAAATAGTTTTCTGAGGAAGTCTACAGTCTGAACTGCTTAAACTGATTTTATTAAAGAGGCAAATGATTTGCCACACATCTGCTGATACCTGAAACATTTCTGATGTTGAATTCTACTTTGGTCACTTTATTATTCTACTGTGTCCATACAGAAGTAGGACTACAACTTTTAATCCAACGGAGATGCGCACACAGTCTAGAGCACACTTGATTTGAGCATTACAACAAAGAGGAGAAAATAAACCAGATCAAGTTGGTCTATCTGCTTCAGGTACTACTTGTGTCATCAGGTAGTAAATAAAGTTGGGTTTACTCCAATTACCATTCAAGTGGGGATTGGCTCGTTTTCAGGATTTATTAACAGGTCTCGCTCTTCTAAGTCATTTAAAGCCCCCAGTCCAGGCACATGTCCCACTTGGTGGACAGATGAATAATCTAACCCCACCGGGTTTATTTCAATATTTTGATATCTCAATAATAAGCTGCTTCTGAAGATTTTTTGAGAAGTCTGTTCTCTATTAAAATAAGATAGAACCTCAAAATATGAATGTGAACATTAGAAATAGACAGCATATATTACAAATCCATTCTTGATAGGAACATTAGTAAGAATACACATTAGCTTAAAAAACAGGCTCAGCAAATGTTGCTGATCTGCCAGAAGTCTGAGCTCACTATTTACAAATAAGACAAAGTGAAATACAGAAAATTGTACACATTTGGTAGCTGACAGATTTCTGTTTACCAATAATGGTCTACTGGAAACTGGTACAAAGAAAGACTGGGTGAGAGTCAGTTGTCACCTTCTCAATCTAATTTACAAGTACAGAAAGTTCTGAGATAAATGTTCTGCCTTGAGGGAGTAACTAACTGTATGATCGGATGATGTTTAGAAGGGTTTTCTGGAAATGACTTCCATCAATCTGTGTGATCCACTACTCAAAGTTTATCATATTCATTTCAGTACACCACTGAAGTTGACTAGATGATCAATGGTTATGTTCCTAGACCCTACATCTAAGTAGAAAATAAAACTACCATTGAGTTCTTTAAACCAATTTAATAACTAAGGCCCAATAGATCAAAATGAGAGGAAATACAGTGGCATGATTCAATGCATTTTTAGTGACATTCAAGTGGAAACTGATCTACTCGATTTTTAACCAGAAAACAACTCATTGGTGTCTGTGTAGGAGGAGGCTTAGAAGTTGTCTGAGTAACTGTGTGCTCCAATAGAGACACATGATGCAATATGAGCCTCGGAGGCTTGCCTGACTCAGTATCCTGCACCAATTAACACACATGATCACTTAGGTTTCTAACAGCCAGAGAACCATCTTCAAACTCTTTCATGTCTGACTTTGTTCTTACTTTAAAGTTGCAGAGTTCTCTCCCCGTTTCTTGACAAGAATGTTTTCTGTGTCCATTATTTCAATCTAATACTGTATGAAAGCTACCAGCTTCTTTAAGGAGGTACCCACTGTACACAGGATATTCCAGTAACACTTAAATAAAAGGGCGTTTTGTTTCGTTTCCTTCTTCTGTTATTTCTTTTCTTTTTAAAAACAACTGATTTAAGTCCACGTCATTTTATTTTATATGCACCGGTCTCTCATCTGACTTTAGGCGCTTTCTGCGAGGCTGTATAAAGTCTTCATCAGAGTCTTCTGTTACTTCGCCATCATCCTCTTCTTGCTCAAACTCTGGCAAAGGAGCGAAGGTCCTGTCTGAGTAGATCTCTGAGAGTTTATCTTCAAAGTACAATGCGACTGCTTTCCCTGCCTGAGCTACTTCTGAATCAGCCTGCAAGCAAAAGACAGGAATATTCACCTATTGATAATGCATATTCCTTCACCAAGTTTGCATGGTCTGAAAAGCTTACCTTCAAATTAATCTCTTGTGTGTCTGCATAAACTTGAACAACTTTCATCATCTAAAAAGGATACCAGAGTCAAAAAAAAAAAAGGGAAATTATAATCCTTTCTAAAGTTAAGAAACTGTATAGGATTGGTGACGAAAGTCAGCCATACTAGGGAGAACAAATTGCTAAAACCAGACTAAGTGCTACCTAAAATTCTATAGAACATGGAACCACTTTCTTTATGAAACTGTTAATAGCTAAAAGTTACTTTGAAACCTCAAAAACAGTCTCATTCCAGATTGAGGTCAATCTTAGTAGGAACTGATCTGAAGACATCAACCTACTCAAGAGAAAAATACTTGTGAAACAAATAAAAGAAATGCTAATTTCTAAAAAAAGGTCAAACTTTTCAAAAGATAATCAGAACTCTATCTTTATGGCAATACATTAATCACAAATTAAATTTTTTTTCCCGTTTAGTTTTTGAGACAGGGTTTCCCTATACAGCCCTGGCTGTCCTGGAACTACTCACTATATAGACCAGGTTGGCCCAGAACTACCAAAGAAAGATCTGCCTGCCTCTGCTTCCCCAAGTGCTAGGATTAATGTGTGCCTTCACACCTGGCTTACAAATCAAACTATATATGTTTATTAATAATGTATGTATGTATGCAGTGTATTGCCTGCATATATGCTTTGGACACCAGAAGAGGGCACCAGATCTCATTATAGATTGTTGTGAATTATCATGTTGTTGCTGATAATTAACTCAGTTCCTCTGAAAGAGCAGCCAGTGCTCTTAAACACTGAGCCATCTTTCCAGGCCCAAACTAACTCTTAATAATACAAGCAAAATGTGTCCTTTTGTCAATGATAGTATACAATAACATATCCATTTGAAAATATTTTAAAAAACAAAATCTGGATTTTTATAGTTTGTAAAATCGAAGAAAGAATATATTGATTCTGTGGCAAAATCATAAGATTTTGGTTTGGGTATTAAAGCCTTGAGACACAGCTGTCAGTAGACTCTCATCTAAGACATTTTCTTTTCTTATAATGGAAATCTTCCACAATAACAAACTTGACTTTATTCCAAAGATAGCAAAAGCAATTCCCCTGACAAAGATTATCTGTCACATTTCTTTTCTTAAGGTATGGATAAATACATCTTTAGCCTCCAAGAAATAGATAAAGTTAACGAAAGTCTCATTGCAGAAACTAAACCCTTACCATTATATATTGAGGCTACTATTCAGTGGGTTTAGTCTTATGTTTAGGTGGCCAGTGACAGAACTAAGCATGGGCACTGTTAGCTTTTCCATATGTGCCCCAAATGTGGGCACACATAATCATATTTCACCAAATTACTTCAGATTACTTTCTATATTCAACCACAACTCCCTTAGGAAAATAATCAAGAACACTCTCAGTGTCTTAGTAATTAAGAATATACTCCAAATTGTAAATAATAAACTTGCTTCTCTGTAGCTGAGAATAAAATCAAATTTCATTTTTATAGAATGAAGCTTTGCTTTTTATAAAAATGAATAATAACAAACAACAAACAAAAAACAACCCAAAATTAGGAAATTCTATCATCAGGAAAAAATCAAAAAAAAAAAAAAAAAAAAAAAAAAAAAAAAAAAAAAAAGAACAAAGAAAAGAAACACAAACAAGCCAATACTCTATAGGTTGGAAGTGAACATACTTCATTAAACCTTTCACAGTTCTTGAAGATCAAACGGACATCAGCCACAAAATCATCCGGGATTTGGTAATGCTGGGAATGTTTTTTCTGAAGCTTCTTTTTCACTGTTGATAAATCCATTGGTTTCTTTATAATTTTATAGTAGTTTGGTATCTAAAAAATAAATCATGGCAGGTCAGAATCTTCTAAAATAATTAAATACTAAAGTATTTAATTTGAAAATATAAAGCACATTGATTACATTTGAGGTACAGAGAATATATTTCAAGTTTTCTGTCCCTATCGTGTCTTGAATACCAAATCTCACTGCAAAGTATGTACTGGTTGGTTTCCATGGCTACTGGAAGTTCCCAAGGTCCTATCATTAATAAGTAAAATGGAAAAAAGCAACCAGCAGAAAGTTGCCTCCCTCCCTCAAAACAGACACATCCAGCTCATTTGGTACTTAATGATTTTTAAGAGATCTTATAAAAAAAAATTTAAGGAGAAAGAAAAAACTTTTTAAAGTATACTAATGTTAGGGTTAAAGCATGGTGTTGTAGAAGACATCATCATTATCTCACAAAGAAATCTCAGAACACTGGATGAAAAGTTTGCATTTAGTGTTCTGAATCCACCTTTGGCCAAAAGTTTTTGACCCATGCTTTAGGGTTTTGGCTACTGTTTTGAGAGTCTAGTATGCAGATCTCAGACTGGCCTCAAAGATCCTCCTGCCTCAGACTCCCAAGTACCTACCACATTGGTAGCACTGCCATACTGAGCTAGAGGCTATCTGAATATGGCATGAAAAGAAAACACTAGGGAGTTATTTTCTATTGTGAAATCCCTGAACTAAAAATAAAAGGGTTTTCTAGAATCAATGACTAGTACTTGTACAAGACACCTTCCATCTGTTAAATCTTTTGCTTTTAAAATTAATTTCTTAGCCTACTTAACAAATAGGACACCTACCATTTAAGTCTGTTAACAAGTTGGTATTAAACAACAAATAGCTAACAAGTACATAATAGCACATTTATTATACTAATTAGGCAGTACAAGCTCTAGCCACTTTTTATTTTAGTATTTTAAAGCCTTTATTCCAAGCCTCCAGTAGGATTAACAAAAAGCCACTAACATCCTATGTATCTTTCTCTCAATCTTAACTATTTACATTAAGAGGACTTTCAAATGGCAAAGCCGTTGTGAAAAATTCATCCATACACTTTGTTTTCTCCATAACAAGCAGTGGAGCAGAGCTGACACAGACTCATAAATACTTTGGTATTTCTACTATAAAATTAGAAATGAAAGGCAGAAAAGCACATTGTGCTCTCAGTTATAGTTAACTGACATGGAATGTGGAAGTTCACACTTGTAATCCTAGTTCTCTAGTGTTACTGGCAGGATTCTGTAGAGAAAAGAGGAAGACAGGAGAGGAAGGAACTAAAAGAACAGACTTTCTGCTTCCAGTTCAATGTTCTTCTCATTAAAATTATTTCCCTTATGTCAACCTTAAAAGGAGAATGTAGAAATAAAACACACTTTCTACCAGAGCAACATACACACATGCATTTTTTTTATTTAAAAAAAAAAAAAAAGACAGAATATACTTTCTTCCATAATCTCAGGCTGGCCTCAAAACTGCTATTTTTCTACCCTAACTACTTAAGTACTAGCAATACCATGCCCAGCTAACAAACTGTAATTTTAACAAAATGAATCTTACATCCATTTAGTTCTAATAAGGTTTCTGCTTTTGGAATGAGGACACAGCTCAATCATAGAACACTTGCTTGACACAAAGCACAGATTCAATTTCCCAAACCAAAGCACATAGATATTAATTAAACAACAGACCCACAGCAATATTATATACTATTTATATACACATTTTACACTGGGTATTTTATAATATTCAAAATATTCCAATGAGGTTAGAGGTTAAGAACAGTAGTGATGCATGTCTTTAATCCTAGCACTCGGGAAGCAGAGGCCAGTGGATCTGATACACATAAATTTTTTTAATTGCATAAACAGTATTTTAGAAGCTGGAGAGGTGGCTCAGCAGTTAAGAACACTGGCTACTCTTCCAGAGCACCTGAGTTCCATTCCAAGCACCCACAACAGTTCACAAGTGTTGCTAACTACAGAACTATAGGATCCAATGCCTTCTTCTGGTATTCATAAGCACCAGGCATATACATGGCATACAAATACACATGCAGACAAAATACCCATATACAAATAATAATAAATTTAACAAAATAATAATTAGTATTTTATTTTTAAAAAGGTGTTTATACAACATTTAATCCAAGCAGCGGGGAGATAGAGAAAGGTAGATCTCTGTGAGTTCCAGGACAGCCAATCTCAACACAACACCTCATCACCCACCCCCACCCCCGCCACATCCCCAAAAAAGGAAAAAGGTGATTAGAAGACCTTTCCCAGAGAATATAGAACTTCAATTAGGCTGGTGTAAAAGGTCTATTGATGTACTGCCTTACTTACATGTAAACCACATTTAATGATACACTGCATTATTTCAAAATTCTTTAAAGGAATTTTAACATCCCATTCTCATCAGAAAAAAGTTAAGATGTTGATGGGCATGTTAGCCTGATTAAATTTTTCAATTTGTATGTAGATCAAAACATCATCTTATACCCTACAAATGTAAATAATTTATCAATCAAGTTCTAAAAGATGATGGGGAGGAAGTTATCAGAACATATTGAGTCATAGAATAGTTAAGCAACTTACTGAAGGAGCCCCCGTCTAAGCCACAGTCCAAACTCTTAAAATATTAGACTTCTTTACCAGGGTAATACTAAAACATGTAACTCACCGAAACAGGAACAGGTTCTTGGAATTCAATACTTAATTCATGGCAATAGAGGTAAAGCAGGAGACGTTCACATTTCTGGCCCCCAAAAGAAAAAAGAGACAATGATTTTTTTCCTGGTAAGATATTTTGGGGAATATAGCTACGAAGTAGTATATACAACAGGTATCAAACAAAATAATCTTCGTTTTTTATTCAATCTTGAAACTAGGTTCTATTCTACCTTAATTAAATATACCTTTATGCTAACAGAACTAAAGTAATTTATCTATTATTAATTCTTATTTGCAGAAATATGAGTCATTAAAACTTAAAGTAAATGAGTAAAGAAATTTTCACCATTAGTACCTAATGTAATTCCCTAAGGCAGGCAAAACAATTCATCTGTTTTTCAATGACTCCACTCAGATTCAAATGAACTATATCTCTCTTCAATCCAATTTTCAAAAATCTTCTTTCACTCTTTTATCCTTTCTGAGACACAGTTATATTATGTAGCTCTGGCTGGTTTAGAACTTCTATGTAGACCAGACTTGGACTAAAATTTGTGGACACTCTTTGCCCTCTGCTTATTGAGGGCTGGGCTTACAATATCTATTTTTATAACATTAACTATTACACTAAAATTTTACATTAGCAGATTATACTTAAACTATGTTTAACATTAGTTTATATATCATAAACACATTGCTTCTCTTCACAGATTTTTAACATGGGAAGCAATTAAAGAATTGTAAGGAAGGAAGTAATAAATTTATTTACAGTTTTTAAAAGAAAAAGCACTGTTTAAATATAGAAAAACAAACTAAACGGGCAAGAGAAGAAACAAGGAAATCACAAAATTATCACAATAGTCCACATAACAAATTATGAATGTGTTAGGGTAGTAATGTTGGGGAGCTACAGGAAATGGCATTATAATCACATTTGACTTTTATCTCATGGGTTCCTGGTTCCAACAACAGAGGTTAACAGTGGTACCATACAGTGGTAGACAATACTGAGATAGGAATTCTTTTGCCTGGTGTTTGCTATCATTTTGGAGGGAGAGGATCAGAAATCAGAATTTGAGTTGAAAGATATTAAGTGTGAAGTCTGGCCTGGTGGCACACGCCTGTAATCTCAGCACTCAGAAAGGAGCACTGCTGCAAATTCAAGCTCAGCCAGGGCAGTATAGCATGACTACTACTTTGCTATACTAAAACTATAAAGACTTTAGAAGTTATAATTCACCAAATGATACAAAGCCTACCAGGTAATGTGTACCCCACAGGGATGGGGATTCTACAATGCATGAGTGAGGGAGGAAGCACAAGATACACAGGCTGACAACCATAAAATCTCTATTAACATTAGCAACTCAGCTCAGACACTTACCCTTTGGTCCACGGGGCTTAATCCCTGTGCAGTCTTCCCCTTCTTACTGTGCTGCATATTATCACAATCGTATTCAACTTCTGGCTTCCCAATATCTCTGCAAAATGTGCATATCCAGTCCCCACTGCACAGGGAAAAAGACAATTAGTCCACAATCATAACAAAGCCTGTTCTGGAGAAGATTGGTCCTTAGCTGTAGGTCTCTAGTTTGTTTTCGTTTGTTTCTAGTATTTGGTGAAAAGGATTTCTGTATTTGTTAAATTTCTTAAGTTGTACAATAAGTTCTCCAAAACTTTCCCCAATCACATACCAAGTGATAACTTTCTGGAAATCGATAAAATGAAATCTCTACATTAAACACTAGTCTGTTCATGACACAAATCAATGATCACCTCCAGCATCAAAATACCTGACAACTGGGATGGAGAGATGGCTTAGCGGTTAAAGGCTAGGCTCACAACCAAAATACCTGACAACTTCTCTCAAGTCCCCGTATCAGCTTCTAATTCTGTGATATGAAAACCATCTGCCGGTCATTTACTTTCTTGCAAGCACAAAGAACGAGTTGGCACCTGTAACTCCCATGACAGGGGAGACAGGGATAGAGAAACCCTAGGGCATGCTGGCTAGTAAGAATAGTTATTTGAGCAGTTCAAGTAGGCACCTGGGAAACAACACCCAAGGCCTGTACACGCAACTCCCCATACAATGTACATACATGCAAAGAAAACAGTAGGGACCATGTGTCTCCAATATACCAACAACAAATCAAGTCTTTTTCACAGCTACTCAAAGAACTGATATACAAACATACCTGTAAGCACAAGCATATATACTCCCTAAACTTTTAACTCATATAAAATACAGTTTGTAAAAATCAGGATTTCTATTAAATTAAAATTTCACAAATTATTTGTTCATATTTTTCTTTATTCCCTGTCTATATATAAATACACAAAGATAAACACATGCATGTTAATCTAGGTAGATGAACAAATAAATCCAAATATCAAGAAGTTCTTTTTGGGTTTTGTTGTTGTTGTTGTTTTCAAGACAAGTTTCTCTGTAGCTTTGTGGAGCCTGTCCTATAACTAGCTCTGTAAGACCAGACTGGCCTCCAAATCACTGAGATCCACCCACCTCCACCTCCTGAGTGCTGGGATTAAAGGTACATGCTACCACCACCTGGAAATTTTAGGAGTTTCATATAGAATCCATGCCAATAGTTTATATTCCTCCCTAAGTGTCTGCCTCTGAAAACTGTCAAAATATTAGCCAGGCACGGTGGTACACCAAAGAGGAAGAAGGGGCTAGATCCCTGTGAGTTCAAGGCCAGCCTAGTCTACATTTAAAAAAAAAAAAAAAAAAAAAAACCCACCCTGTCACAAAAAAATTGAGAAAGAGAGAGAGAGGGAGAGAGGGAGAGATGGGGGGAGGGAGAGAGGGAAACCGGCAAAATCTTAAATAGCAAGATATTACCAAGAAAAGAGGGTCTGAAAACATAGCTCAGAAAGGACACTTGCCAACAAACCTGACGATGAGTTCAATTCTCCAGAACCCACATAGTGGAAAGACTGACTCCTGTTAAGTTGTTCTCTGACTTCCATACATGCAACACCTGTGCACACATGAGCAAGCACATGTGCACATACATACACATAAATATGTTTAAAAAAAACCCAAAAAACAAAAAACAAGGGCCAGGCGTTGGTGGCGCACGTCTTTAATCCCAGCACTCAGGAGGCAGAGGCCGGCAGATCTCTGTGAGTTCGAGACCAGCCTTGTCTCCAGAGCTAGTTCCAGGACAACCTCCAAAGCCACAGAGAAACCCTGTCTCGAAAAACAAAACAAAACAAAACAAAAATAAAAAAACCCTACAAACCCACTTCCTTATTAGATCAGTAGCAAATCATACCTGATAAGATTTAGGCAGGTAATACAATTTAAAAACAACACAATAACCAAAAAAATGCCCTGGTACTTTTTATATAGCTATTTTTCTTTTCCCATCTTGGTGCTTGAGAATGAACCCAAGGGCACATGCTCCACCACTGGGCTACATATTCACAGCTCATCTATTGCTGCGTTTTGCAGTGAAAAGGCTTGGAACCTTCTGTTATACATTTAGATTTGAGGATATTTCACTGGTACCTTGGAAAGCTGAGAAGTGTCGGAACATGGCAAGTAAGATGAAAGACCTTTGGACATTTTTCACAGCATAAAAGATCCCCTCCATTCTGGCAGACAGCACACCAGTCTTCATTTGGGTCATCATCTTTGCTATTACCATCTCCCCCGATCCTTGCCGACCTGTGCATGAGGTTTCGAACTGGAGACTTTCCATTAACTAGGCTACTAAGTCCTGACTGTTTGCAGCTTTCATTCATATCTGTAGGCTCCGTTTTCACGTGGTTCTCCAGGCCTGTTAATGTATCCAGCTCACTCTCTAGATGGAGGTTAGTTGAAAGAGGTGGTGTCAAACTACTCTCAGGACTGCTCAACTACAAGAAAACAAAGACAAGTTTTTAAAAAATTATTTAATTCTTTCTTGCATACAGTGAGTATATATAAGGCTATATTAATATACATACACTACCTAAAATTATTCTGTAAATCACATTAGTGAAATAAAAGAATACAAATAACCTAATTACATGCATTTGCTAACTTGGTTTTTCAGGGTTTGTCCCTCTAATATTTAATATTGGTTCACTCAGATAATCTGGAAATTTAAACCATTATACACAGTGACTGAGAAATAAACTAACAATCATACTTTTCTTACAGAGACCATACTACAGTACACTATTTTTCCAATGAAAATCAGTCAGACAGCATGTGAGAAGTATTTCAGTACTTCTGAAATACTGAGTAGCATTCAACTAAAGACAGACTGTGACAATGTAAAACAGATCTTTCACCACATCACCTTTGCATTGGGCACTTTCTAAACTAAGAGTTTTAGAGGAAGAGAGGACAGGACCTTGTTAAACATTCAGCAAAAGTTGTAAGTTTTTAATCCATACACTGCACTGAATATAGTAATAATATTGAGATTCCTCTGCCAACAACACAGATTGAAAAGGAAAAGGCCTGGGCAGAAGAATAACAAAACACCAGATAAATGAAGATGGGTTTAGAAACTCCTTCATTCTATTTTATAAACTGTATAAACGTTTTCGTCTAAAAAACTCTAGAATAGTTATAATAAGACAAAAAGGAATCTTTCTATCACAAAGTCTTTGATCAACAATCTTCTTTCATACGAACTATCTTAGTGTTAAGCTCCTGGGTTAGAGAACATAGTCAAGGTTCTGTTGTGGCCTTGAGATCTATGTGTGCACTGAGATCATTAATAGAACATAATTTAGCATCATGGCAGTAGCATTAATTCAATATGAATTCCAAGACAATATAAAGTGAGTACTTAATGCAATCAAGTCTTTTCTGATTAATTATAGGTGACTCTTAAGAGCAGAAACAGAAACAGAGATACTTAGCTTATGTCAGACATAGAAATTTAAAGACAAATAAATATGCCTACTATGACAGATCAGTGATGTGACCTTCTAACGTCCTGTCAAATCATGGGGGAACTTACCATACAGGCACTCCTCCTGCCATCCTCTGTCTTCTCTTGTTTCACAGCTCCTGAAAAGCTGCATATCTCTTCTTCAGTGCCAGGCTCTTGCTTGACCTTCACCTGATCAGATTTGAAACTATGACCACTTTTCTCAGCAGTTCTTCCCGATGATCCACAGCTAATAAGAAACAAAAGTCATGTTTGATTGTATAGCATGAAGTGAAACTACTATTATTTAAGATAGTAAACAATACCACAAATAGGAATGTAACAGATACAAGGCCAAACCTTAAAATTACATTCCACGATGCAAAACATTTAACAGTAAACTATGGATTCTAGTAAACAATCACATTTGTCCATGCCACTACAAGTTGAGTATCCTTATTTAAAACACTTGGAGATTAGAGTTTTGAGATGTAGTTAGCCATTCTGAAACATTTACATATACAGGATAGGGTGACTTGGGATAGGACTCAAGTATAAATATGAAATTCATTTCATACAACATTTTAAGTGCACCCAGCATATTGATTGCAAGTCATTGTAACATGAGATTAGGTATGGAATTTTAATTTTCCACTTGGGGAATCATACTAGTGCTTACATTTTAGAGTATTTCAAATTTCAGCTTAGGGATGCTCAACCTGTAGCAAAAAATGACAGTGATTGTATCTCTTTATAGAAACAGTTTCAAGACTAACATCTGAAACCTCTAAAGAATACAACATCAGCAGAAGTGGTAAGTAAGTCTCACAAAGATTGGAGGTGGACTAGAAGAACAGAACAATAAGTAGCAAACAACCTGGTCCAAATTTATTAGAAGCAATGTAATGAAAGTGGAGAGTACAGATACATGGCTAAAGGTTCTATATAAAGCACAAGGTTCTACATAAAGCAAAAGAACAACAATTCACTACTGAGCAAAGTAATTAAGACTAGTATAGTTAAGGGCTAGAGAGATGGCTCATCAGGCCTAGTAGCCAGAATTGTCTCCAGTTCCAGGCAGTCCAACACCCTCATACAAACATATATGTAGGCAAAACATCAATGAATGTAAAATTCAATAAAAAAACACACTAGTATAACTACTCAAAATTAAGTTTTCACTGTTTATTTTTCTTCTGAAAGCAATGATTATTTAAAATACCCTCCCTTTATTTTTTTTATAATTTATTTGTATTTTATGCATGTTGGTGTTTTGCCTGCATATGTCTGTGTAAGAGTGTTGCATCCCCTAGAATTACAATAAACCATCTCTCTAGCCCCCTATTTAAAGTACTAAAAAGCCAACCAAGTACTTCCAATAAGGACAACTTCCAGAATAAATACACATATAAAGTCCCAATTCACTAATTCCTTAGCTAAAATGTCGTATTAAATCATACAAAGTACAGGACAGTCAAATGAATGTATTCATTATGTTTAATCTTAACAATGATTTCTTAGCCCTATCCACTGAAGTCTGAAGGAAAAAACAAACAAATTGAAAGTAATGAATGCCCTTAATACCTAGAAGAACATTAAAAATGTGTTGGAATAAATAAATCATAAAAGTATAACAGTCAAACTCCTAGGACACTACTGAAGGGAACTGGAAATAAATTCATCACAAAAGTCAACAAAGAAAATTTCCCCTGCCGCTCCTTAACTCAGTAATTTACAACTTTCTTTATATAAGTATTCTAAAGTAATAATTATCAAAATAACATTTTTGAACCTGTAAAGGCACTTGCCACAAAGCCTAACAACTCCAATTTCATCTCCAGGACCCACATGGTGCAAGAAGTCACTCCCATAAGATAACCTCTGACACTTTCCATACACACACCAGGCAAATGTGAGGAGCTCGTTGGTCAGCCAGCTGGCCAAATCTGAGCTTTAGGTTCAGCGATTATCTCAAAAAGTAAGGTTAAGGAGTCAACAAGGTATCTTACATGAACTCTGGCCTTCACACACATACATTGCCCATATGTACACAAACAACACATACAAAAACAAAAATTCGTGCTCCCAATGGAAGCGTACAATACTACATTTGAAGTATTCTTGCCAACTCCTAAACAACTTGAATCCCATTAAATTTCTTAAAAAAATAATACTAATAAGGCCAATTCCTTTTTTTTTAAAGGTTTTATTACGTATACAATGTTCTGCCTGCATGTATGCTTGCAGGCCAGAAGGCTCCAGATCTCATTACAGATGGCTGTGAGCCACCATGTGGTTGCTGGGAATTGAACTCAGGATCTCTGGAAGAGCAGTCAGTGCTCTTAACCTCTCAGCCATCTCTCCAGCCCCCTAAATAGCTCTTATTTCTAAGACTAACATGTCTATTGTTCATATCAGTGTGTATGAATATTTATGACTGTGCAGCTGTGTGTGTGTGTGTGTGTGTGTGTGTGTGTGTGTGTGTGTGTGCGCGCGCGCGCGCGTGTGCACACCTGACTTAGGTGCCTTCAAAAGCTAAAGGTGGTAGATAGATCTCACTAGTGCTGGAGTTACAGGCAGTCTGTGAGTCACCTTACATGGATACAGGAGTCATATAGCTCTTAGCCTGAGTTACCTCTTCAGTAACCCCTACCCCTGGCAAACCTATTGCTCCAAATGGTCCATATATACAAAAAGGGAAGCAAATTAAGTAACAACGTGAGAAACAGAAGTCTACAAGAGAAATCTCTACATTTGCCAAAAAAAAAAAAACCCTAATGTTTATACAAATCCATCTATTGATGACAGTGTATAGGGCTTATTTAAATGTGGTTCAAAGAAATGATTTGTTTAAAAAAGCATTTATGTAAATAAATAAGGAACCTACTAACTGGATATAAACAATACACAGTAGCAAAAGTAAAATGACATAATCGCTGAGATTTGTTTCAAATAATCTAGACAAGGAGATATAAAAGTGTACAAAGGAAAGAAGACTGGGCATAGTTAATGCACTAATCGTTGAAACTGGGTATATAAAAATTAGTTTACTTTGATTAGCTATGTTTGAAATTTTAATAAAAAGGTGTAAGTAACATAATACCAGGAAAAAAAAAATACTCACCTGCCTCGACTGCCAGTGCTAGATGTACTAGGGGGTCTCACAGGTGTGTGAGAATTGGATAAGCCTAAAAAACAGTAGTCAGACTGAGGATCAGAATGTTCAGACAATACAACCTAACTAACTCAGACTCTGGTAAATCACAAACAGCTGTGAAGTCAGAGATGGCAAATATGATTAGCAAGCACCAACCAGCTTCTTCCAGCTGAATCCAGGCTGACCTTAGCATCTTCTAAGTATTACCCATAAGATGCAGCAGATTGAGAAAGTTGTCATTTTGTCACATAACAAAAGAGTCTATATAGTCCTTTACTCTTTTTAAACAATTAAGACGGCTTTTCATTATATATCCCAGACTGGCTTAAACCCCTGATTGTCCACTGCCTCCATCTGAGTGCTGACACTATAATGGTACAAAATAAAATTCCAACTAAAACTCAATGATATAATTCAAAAAATGTTAATAATATACCTCACGTAAAAATTTATACCCCGGCCAGAAGGTGAGGGCACACACCTTTAATCCCAGCACTCAGGAGGCAGAGGGTGGCGGGCCTCCCTGAGTTCGAGGCCAGCACAGACTACAAAAGCAAGTTCCAGGACAGCCAGAGCTACATACAGAAAAGCCCTGTCTGGAAAAACAAAAATTTATACCTCATGTAAAAATCCATCTTTACAACTGTACTGTTTTCCCTAGAGAAATGAGATGTTCTTTTTTTAGTTTAAAAGAAAAACAACACGTAGTTTAAGCTGGATGTATAATCCCAGCACTCAAGAGTCTGAGTTCACCTATCTCAGGTACATAGTATGAGTGACCCTAAGCTTCAATCCCATACCCTATTCCAAAAAAAAAAAAAAAAAAAAGAGTGGGGGTAATATGCTATAATGACTTGTTAATCTGTTTGGCATTGCTTCAATCATGATTTTTTTAATGTCTCAGCTAAAACCACATGATAGTAGGAACAGTAAAACTGGGATTTGAGGAAACACAATTTACATATACTTTTAATTAAGGCAAAATTAAGGTATTTACTTTAAATTTACAACTTGAAAATTCAAATCGTTTTCATCAACTTTATTAAAAAATTTTCATTATTTTAAAACTGTTTTTAGTTAAAATTTAGTAACTCAATTCATTATCCACATTATAAAACATAGGAGACATAAAAAGTTAATACACTCTAAACCCACCAAAGAATGAGAAAGGTAGAGATGGATGCTTTAGTGTTGCCAAAAGACAGGGTATAGGTATGTTCTGTACCATTCTAGCCAGTTAAAGACTGTCAACCTTATTTAAACATACATGCATTTGCCATGGTGGTGGTGGTGATCGTGGCACATGCCTTTAATCCCAGCACTTGGGAGGCAGAGGCAGGTGGATCTCTGATAGTTAGAAGCCAGCCTGGTCTATGAAGGAGCTCCAGAACACCCAGGGCTACACACCAAGAAACCCTGACTCAAAAAAACAAACAAAACCACCATATATGCATGTGTATTTGAAAAACCACCCAGAAAAGTCAACAGACCTTGAGAAAAGCAAATTATCCATCACAATCCAAGTGAGCCTCATTTAACCAGGTGAAGCCCATGAAAAGTTGGAGCTATTGCTTCCGGTCCTTATATTGTGGACACTAGAATGAAAAGTAACAACTCTTCCTGAGTCTCCAGCCTGCTAAAATGCCATGCAGATTTTGGACATGCCATCACCCAGAAAAGTAATCAGGAGAGCCAATGCCTTAAAATAATTCCTTATCTTCTTCTAACCTCCCTACCATATCACCTGTGTAGTGTATAAACTTATGATGTGTCTCCACACACACTTCCCTCTTGTAGCTGTTTTAGATACCCTTGCCTCAAGTTGTCAGAGCAATATCCCTGTTTGTTTTACCTGAAGATCCAGGTGATAACGCAGAGGGTCCTGGGGAAGGATTCATGGTACTTGTAGGCTGTGGGGGTAGATGACTGCCTGAGATATATCTACTCAGTAGATTATCTAAACTACTTGAGCCAGCATCTTCCAACTAAAAGGAGATAAAAATAAATTTGTTTTGATTAAACTGAATAAATTAAGGTTACTGTTTGTACTCACTTTACTATAACAGATTATGCAATATCAAGTTCAGCCTATTTGTTGCTTCCTTAGGCTCTTCTAAGAGCAAACACAGTATAAAGTTTATGTTACTGACATTGTAATTTATACAATGGATACCCAGCTGCTAAGACAACCTTAATAATCCATTAAGCCCTGTATAACTACAAAAATAGTTATGACATACTAACAGTTCACTTTCATTTTTCAAAATGGCTGGAGTGCCCTTGACCTCATACACCTTCCTCTACTTTAGTGTCGCATCAGAATCTTTCACACAAAGACTTTAATCTCCCCGATAAGTTCTTACATCAGTATCCAGCCTGACCAAGGTGCATCACTGAATACAGAAGAAAGAAAAAGCAGGGAATATGAACTCATTTCATACATAAGAGATAGTAGGATAAAGTTAGACGATAAGTGTTGCAATTTTGGGGCAGTTCTCCAAAAAAGCATCAGTTTCCTGTTTTAAAATAAGCCATCTATTCTACAGAATGTGATGCTTCAGTGAGAAAATATTTGCACAAGTAAAAAGAAACTATTGAAAGTATCTGAAAATCCACACTATTCCTAAGAAATTGTCAAATTATTATTACTTGTTAATTTTCTTGCTTATTCTATTTATTCCCACACTTCACTCTGTTCTCCAGAGAAAGGTCAAATTATGTCTTACGCCAATCTATTTCTGGCTTAAGACAAAACTATATACTTACTGTCTGCTCTCTTTTCTTCTTAAAAGTAAACTAATTTTTATAGCAATAAAACAAATACCAGGCAGTGGTGGCTCACACATTAGATGCCAGCACTTGGGAGGCAGAGGCAAGAGGATCTCTGTGAGTTCGAACCCAGCCTGGTCTACAGAGGGGGAGTTCCAGGACAGTCAGGGCTACATAGAGAAACTCTTGTCTCAAAAAAAAACCCAAAACTGAATGCATAGATGAACAAACAAACAAACTAAAGTAGAACTGGAAATGAAAAATGGACCAGGACTTAATACAAACACAGGCAAGGGAGGATCCTCCTAAAAAGCAAAAATCACAATTTCCCAAAGCCCTAAATAAATCCCAAGCCAGTTACAAGCCAGGCTGAAAGTGAGAAGACAGAACAAAAAGTTATAGTAGTTCTCTCTGTCTACTCTGCAGATCTAGCTGTTGGTTAAACACCGTTTGCAAGCTATAACTATAGGAGAATCCTTTCTGCAAGTTAACCAGATATAATCACTTAAAGGAATTCTTTTGTTGTTTATTTACTATAAAATTCATTATTATTATTTTAATGTCTATGAGTGTTTTGCCTACATTTATGTACAGCATGTTTGTGTCTGCAGAGGTCAGATGATGGCATTGTATCTCTGGAACTAGAGTTATAGGCGGGGTGAACCACCATGTAATGCAATGAAAATTGAAATTGAGTACTCTGTGAAAGCAGCTAGTACTCTAAGCCATCTATCCAGACCCAGACTGAGAGATACATACCACATGAAAACAGATTGGGAAAATGACACTATTCTACTCCTTTAATATTATCTACCTATGATTTTTACCTCTAGGTAAATAGTGACCCTAAAGTTGAATGAAGTCAACCGGTCAGGAAGAAGTGGACATGAATACAATCATCATGAATAGAGTTAAAAGTCATTTCATGGGCTGGATATTAGGGAAGCAGAGGCGGGAAGACTTCTTTGAGTTCAGTACCGGCCTGACCCACACACTAAATTCCATTGCAGTCAAAGTGACACAGTGAGACAATATCTCAAAATAAATAAATTAAAATAATTTAAAACCCATCTAGCTGTAAAACATAACTGCATGGGTGTGATCTAAGTCCTATAAATAATTTGTGGTGTAAAAGCAAAGGCAATATGAATGAAAAATGCAGACCTCTCACAGAAATAAAACGAACACATTAAGAGATAGAAACCAAACCAGTGTAATGGTGCACAATACAAACACAAAGTTTGAAGCCAGTCAAGGTTACTTGGTAAGGCCGTTTAAAAAAAAAAAGGGGGGGGGGAGAGGTAATTAAATCACAATAATGTCATCTTACCTACCAGACTGGCAAAGAGGAAGACTAACTTTAATCCAGTATGGAAAAAAGCAGAGCAGAAATGGATACTCTGATGTATAAGTTGGTAGGGTTAAGGATGAATGTAACTGGAACTTGCCAACATGCCTATCACCCCTACCTCAGGTTCAATTTCTAGCACCATCAAATGGACAATGAATAACTTGTCCTGAAAATACTGAATTATTTTTCCAAGGGGTCATTGTATTTTATATTCCCACCAACAGTGAATGAAGAATCTAATTTCTCTACTTTCTTACCAATAGCATGGTTAATATGCAACGTTTCAGTTATTATTTCCATAGTGACTGGTAAAGGTTTTTCAAATAAACAGCTGTAATGTTTTTTTAATTTAATGGTTTTGTTTTATTTGTTTATGAATGTTTGCTGCCTGGAGCCCAACAAAATGAAGAATTATGTAGTTTTAAAAGCAAGAAAGCTATAGGAACTGACAAAAGGGTGGGGGGCATTTTCTTTTTTTTTTTTTTCCTGATTAACTCAGAAACAAAACCATCACCACCATCTATAATGGGTTACTTTTATAAAGTCTAGAGAGGCCTTTTAAACTAAAAACAACAACAACAAAAAAAACAGAATATTCTTCCTAGTCCTCCTTACCTACCATGAAGTCCTTCAAATACAAGGCCCTTGTTGAATTTATTTTTTTTATCATTTTTTATTTGAAATAGAAACAAGATTGTTTTATTACATGACAATCCCAGTTCCCTTCTCCTTCCCTAACTCCCCTACCATGCCCCCAACTAAAACCCTACCTATGACATACCCTTTCTTCTATTCTTCACCTGACTCAACCTTTCTGCTCCCTCATGACCTTACACAATTTACTGCCAACAATTCCTTTCCTAATTCTTACTCACTACAGGTTTCAAGGAAGTTTAACACCTTACTAGATTTACCTTGTGCTTTCCCCTCTAAGGAACAATCAGGGCTACACAGGGAAACCCTGTCCCCAAAAAAAACCAAACCAAAATAAACAGATACCACAAAGTCTAATTAAGCTCACTTTACTATACTGCCTGTTTTATTACAACCGACACCTTGCTGCTTTTGCACACAGGTAATTCTACCTGCCTGGAGTTGCTGCCTCCAAGACCCTTTAAATCCATGCTGAATATGATTTCATGTAAAATCTCTGACTTCCATCCAGGTATAGTGGAACAAGCCTTTAATTCAGCACTCGGAAGGCAAAGGCAGGCTATGTGAGTTTGAGAACAGTCTCGTCTACAGAGTGAGTGCCAGGACAGCCTGCCTTGAAAATCCAAAAAAGGAAAAAAAAAAAAAAAAAAACCCACCTGACTTCCACTTGGAATGTTCTTCTGCCCTTCTACCGATAACCTTATATGCATATGCAAATGAAGCAAAAACTTCATGTTTTGAACATGCCTAGAAAACTATATATCCCTATTACCTAAGAAAATCTTCGAGGTCAAAGACTACTTCTCTTTGATCTTTAGACAACCAGTACTTTGAGCCTAATATGTACTAATACTATGTTCTAATAAGATTAGAACATTGCCTAATACAGCCTAATGTTTGGCAAGTTCCCAGATATTTGACGAAAATGCACTATAGTATAGTGATCCATGTTTCCCGGAACATGTTGCCTTTAGATCTTAGTATACTGAAATTCTGACCTTGAAACTAATAAAAACTATTTTACCCCAACCAATCATAAAGAAAATATTCCATTCTGTCAACACATACTGTTCTAAACATGATCAATCAAGCACATCACTACTACTGTTAAGTGACACATTAAAATATGAAGAAGCATTCTATTATCCATTTACAACTTCCTATCACCTTCTCATGAAAGCAAACTATATTTTTCAACACTTTAGGACCACCAAGATGGCTCAGCAGGTGGAAGTACTTGTGTACATGCCTAAAAATCTGCATTTGATTCCTGGAAACCATGCAAAGGAAGGTGAAGAGAAATGACTCTAAACTTGTTCTCTGGCTTCCACATACCTGTGTGCAGCTCAGGGACAAGCGCATGCACACACAAATACACATGCACAATAAATCACTCTTTTAAAATATGTGTGTTTATTGTGTGTGCACTGCTCTGCCTGAAGGCCAGAAGGGGGCACCAGATCTCATTATAGACAGCTGAAATCCACCATGTGATTGCTGGGAATTTAATTCAGGCCCTCTGAGCCATCTCTTTAATTTTTTTTAAATCCTCACTTTATTACTTTCTAGTTATCTAATTGTCAAAATTATATCATCTTAGGGAATATGCTATATGTTAGTAATTCCTAACCAATTCCATATCTTCTTTCTCTCTAGTATTTTATTATTTCTCAGTAGTACTTTTCATGTCTTCAAGCCATTGCTAATAGTATTTTCACATCTAAAACAAAATCCTTATGCTGACAACCAGACCACACAGTATATTCAATTGTCTTCTGGATTGTGCAAAATAGGTAAATCTTTGAGACTTCATCTCTATATATTTAATATTAAGCTTACTGTTTGTAATATTTATACTATGACTAATATTAATGCTGGGTTTTCTCTTTGTAAATTCTTAATTTAGCCTAATATCATTTCCATTACATAATTTATTAGAACATCATTATATGTGTGATTGCCACAGATCAAATCAGTGTTTTGGAACACATGACTATACTGTGCTTCAAACTAGTCTTGTAAATTCCTGTGCTTAATGATGCCATTCACAATACACAGCCATATTCATGCCTGTGATGTAGCTGATACAAACAAACCTGCCACGTGACAAATTATGTAAAATTACATTACAATTACATACAGCATGTAAAACTTAATAATGAAAATAATGACTACTATTGATGTATGTATTTACTATACTCTTTTTTCAAGTAACTTTGAAGTCATAAAAGCATCATTTAAAACTCTTACATAGCCAGGCATTGGTGGCTAAAGCCTTCAATTTTGGCTCAGGAATCAGAAGAAGCAAATGATCTCAGTGACTTTGAGGACAGCCAGGAATACACAGTAAGAACCTGTCTCAAAAAAGAACAAACAAACAAAAATGGTCCTACTATTTCAGCAGCTTCACTGCTCCTTGATGTCATGGAAACCCCCAACTCTAAAATTCATACAATACTGGAAATTAACAGTGCAATCCTCAAAGACTATTTATAAAGGCCAAAAGAAATGAGAAACCTCAGAGAGCATGTTGTGATTCATCTTCCCCTGTTGACCATCATTTCCTCCCTTTTACTATGTCCCCAAAGTGCTTGGTATCTAAACCTTTCAACATAAGCCTTTCTCTGCACAACTGGCTTGCATGAGTGTTGGGCTACATTTATTTATAGATCTAAAAGAAGAGTAACAAAAGATGAGAGCCCATTTTGGTACTGGGTTCTTCAAATTCATATCCTAAGTATATTATTTGATTGAGGTTTTACCCTTAGAAAGTGGCTAAAAAGTGTGAAGAATTAGCAATATAAACAAAGCTAGTTTTGGTCCATTACTGCACTTGTTTAGATAGACTCTTAATGAAAAATATACAGCCTCTTCTAACTTTAAAACATGAAGGAAACTAGTTTCAGCTAGTAACATTAAACTTAACATAGTACCCTTTAATCTTCAGGTTTAAGGAAATTACTGGTCCTGAAACTAAACAAAAATCTGAAATACTATCTTCTTCAGTAAGTACAAGATTATAAATGATTCATTTAACATAAATACAAACCTGTATAGGTGGAATATCTGGCAACGATGGAAGGTTTTCTGGATTGGTAACTGAGGGAATTAGTTCTATTGCTGTAACAGATGGGCTGGTGGGACCTCGATTTGCATTTGCCATAGTTGCTGTGGTAGGGCTTGTTGGGTTGATTGGGTTGTGCGCTGAGACAACAGGAAAGGGTCCAGCATGCCCTGGGTTTGAGTGCTGTTTAAGAAAGAAGGCATTATTATTATGCACTCTGCCACCATCTCTGAACCATACCTTTGAATAATTATAACTATTTTTAATGTATCCTTTCCAAACTAAAAGTATCTGAGCTGACAAAGAAATAGGGTCTTTCAAACTTATGCAAGAGAATAGTTTGATCTAGTCTTCTCATTCATTTTTATGTGCTATCGAGGGTAAAACAGATTTGCAAAAAAATTTTCAACCTGTCAGCCTACTGATACGATCTTCAGAACAAGGATATTTAAAGATGATGTGGAAGCCACCAGGTCTGCAAATAGCCCACCATGGAAGGCACAGTTCTGAAGATATTCTTCTTTGATTTTTTAGTCTTCTATTGAATGAAAAAGAACTACAAAATGTAACAATATAGAAGAAAGAATGATGAATTTCAGAAAGAAACTATGACAATGATTCCTGGCTCTGCTACAGTGAAGTCTTATGAAGTCACATAATCTCAGTAATTGTGATATATACATAAATGATCCCACAATGGTTTCATTAAGAAGGCCATTACAAGGATTATTTAAGGTCACACATGTGAAGGTCTTTGGATGTAAGTTACTATACATATATAAAGAAATCATTTAAATATTTAAAAACTAAAAATGCTGAGTGACTTCTAAAGGGAAAGCCCTAAAACCTAACAATAGCTAGTTAGTATTGATTCTTTGTACTCTTTCAAATGTTAAACCTTAGTATTCATAATACTTGAAAGCACCCCAAGAACTAAGTAATACAGGGGTATCTCAATAGCTATAAGCAAACCAGTATCTTCAATCTTCCTAGCAAATATTTTAGAAGCATATTTGTCTAAGACTGTGTCATGCATTGTCTTTTCACAATTGTCCTTCCCCTACTTCACAAAGTAATGGCATATTGCTAACTATTATGAGAAAAAACTAAAAACAAATAGTAAAGTTAAACAAAGACACAACTGAAAGAGTTTTTGTGTATAAAAGAGGCGAATACTAAAGACCAACAAAATTGAAGAGTCAATAAACTGCTGACTAACGAAACAGAACTGTGAGGAGAAATGTTAGACAACGTTCAAAAAACTGAGAAATATTTTTCCAATAAAACTGCTACTATCCAATTACATAATTTTGTCAAGTTTCTTGATAAAATAAAACTTACAATAAAAAAATCAATTATTCTAACAATAAATACACCAGAAAAGGAGGTAAAAAGATTACATTTAAAAAGAAATATATCCATTATAGAATTTTATATCATTTCATTACTATCCCTTTTTAGAACTATTATTTATCTGTATGAGTGCCTGCATGTATGTGCACCATATGTGTGCAATGCACAGAGAGGTCAGTAGAGGTATCAGATACCGTGGAAATGGAATTACAGTTTGAGCAGCCATGTGGGTGCTGGGAACCAAACCAGGACCTCTGCAAGAGTAGAAGTGCTCTTAACTGCTGAGCCATCTCTCCAACCTCATCTGCTTAGTCTTAAACCATATAAACATTTTGTTTCCATAACTATGTGCAAATAATACAATGATAACTTTTCAACAGAAGGTTTTAAATCTTGGTAAGAGCCTTTTTATCAATTCAATTTAACTAAATATTTTGGTTAAAATACCCTTTTTTGCAGAAAATTACAAAAGGCTAACTTTTGTCTATCACACATATTATATACACAGAAGATAAAATCCTGTAGAAGCATTAAAAGTGAAATTCACATCCAAGGAGAATAGTCTGTGATTTCTTTTTTAAAGATTTACTTATTTTTATGTATTATGTTTTCCCAGCATGTATGTCTGTGTACCACATGCACTGTGAGATGGAAGCCAGAAATTATCAGAAACTGGAGTTGCAAAGGGTATGACTCATCATGTGGGTGCTAGGAATTAAATCTATAAGGGCAGCCAGTGCTCTCTAACCACTGTACTCTCTTCAGACCCACTTTCTCATTTTGTGTGTGTGTGTGTGTGTGTGTGTGTGTATGTGGGGAAGGTGCACGCTCGGGCATGCCAGCCAATGTGGAGGTCAGAGGACAAAGTTTCAGAATTTCATTCTTTCCTTCCACCCTGAAGTTTCAGGTTATGAGCCTTGGTGGCAAGTGACTTTATCTGATGAGTCATCTTACATCCCACTTTCAGTTTTCAAGTCAATAATTACACTATATTAGAATATTCCTTCTGCTACAACTTTACTACTTTACTACTACTAAAAGTTTTGAATACAAGGTAAGTAAACATTTTTCACAAATCTTTTTGGGTGTAATTTTTGGTCAAAAAGCTGGGGAATCATTGTTCTAAGTGTTTAACATGTATGCTGAACAAGTAAACTTAGTGGAAATTTACCCTAGTCTTCCCTTTGGAAATTATCTGATTCTATTTAAGATGTATCAGTTTCTGTGTATGTGTGTATGCCTGACCGAATTTAAACTCACCACATGTATACAAGGGAGGGTACTAGAACTGGAGGTTACCATTAATTGTAAGCTGCCATGTGAGTACTAATAACTACATTATTGTGCTCTACAAGAGTAGTAAGGAAGTGCTCATAGCCTGAACCATCAACAAATTACCCCTCCCAAAATTCTAGCCCAGTGGTTATGGCTCAGAATCTGTTATAGTAAGACCATCATTGCACTTTAATTTAGCCAGTGATTCTAAGAGCCTTTACGTCACGATTGTTTAATACTTTAGACAAGATCTTTATAGACAAGCCTGGCTTCCAACCCATGCTACTCCTACTCTATCTTGAGTCCTATGGATTATGGGTGTGCACTGCCATACTCAGCCCAAAGCATGTTCATGTTTTGAGAAAGCACTCAAGAGTTAAAGAAAAATAAATACCATTTTAACTTGAAAGACTGTTATAAAACACTTCATTTTATGACCAGATCTCATGAATAGCTTATACTGCATTTATGTAATTATATAATTTATTTAAAAATTAATAAATTTGCCTCTAAATCACTTTTTTGTATTGCATTTTAAATTTTAATCATCTATCTATCTATCTATCTATCTATCTATCTATCTGCATGTATGTTGCCTCCATGAGTTTCTGTGCAACATGTGTTGCCAGAAGGTGTTGTTGGAGCTACTGGAACTGGAGTTATAGATGGTTTAGAGCTGCCAGGTGAGTCCTAAGAACCCAATGTAAGTCTTCTATAAGTGTAGAAGTGTCTCTAACCACTGTGCCTTTTCTCCACCTCTATCTAAGACAACTGGCCTTTTGAGACAAGGTCTAGAGACTCATAGCCTGCCCTTGAATTCACTATGAAGCCAAGGGTAACTTGGAACTTCTGATCCTACTTCTACTTTTCTAGCTTGGAAATACAGTCATAGATATTAAACCTGTTTTAATTTACTTTCTTGTTGCCTTAAGAGTTTTTTTGGCAGTAACAGAGATCAAGCCCAGGGCTTCAAGCATTCTATAACTAAGCTAACCCACACTAATTTTCATATCTATAATCTATAGAAAAGAAAAAAGTATATAAACACATACCTACATACAACTAGCCCTATTACTTAAAAATTTCTTTATGCTATCAATAACAAAATGTCATGTTAAAAAAGCAGAATAAAAATACCAGATAATTCAAGCTTGATTTTCAGAATTATTATTTGTAACTAAAAGTAAACCAAAAGCTCCTTGTTTTTCACTCTAGATAATGAGTTTAGTTACACAAGAATATCTTATAGCATGTGATAAGTTCAAAGAGTCAAATTTTCATGTGTATGTATATTTTTCTGGAACAGATATAAAACAAATCATCAGAAGTACCAAAGACCCACACCAACAATTATGAAAAATAATGTCTTTTAGTTTTAAAATTGTGTGATTCTTACAAATGTAACTCTAGGCATACTTGTCTTTGGAGGTGTGGCTGCATCATGGAATACTGAGGGCCGCTGTGCCTGGGTATCCCTGGTATTCTGGCAGCATTCTGAGCCAGTCTCATTTGATGGGCTTGAAATGCTCCACAATTCATGTTGCCTCTTTGCATTGTTTGCACACTGATCAATCTTGGAGGCTATAAAAAGTAGAAAATGCAATTCATATTTTTCTGTTTTTCTTTTTTATTGGGGGGGGGGTTGTTTTTCAAGGCAGAGTTTCTTTGTGTAGTTCTGGTTGTCCTGGAATTTACTCTGCAGACCAGGCAGGCCTGGAACTCAGAGATCTACCTGACTCTACCTCCCAGACACTGTGCACCACCACACCTAGTCCATATATATATATCTACAAATTTATTTTTCAATCATAAAATGTTAAAGTAAAAGTAATTCAACTAGGCCAGAATAGTATAAAGCAAATAGAACACGCCATATTGTGTTTTCCAATCTCAACATTTAAAGGACTCT